GAGCCCGGGTGAGGGCGGCGGGCGGCGAGAGGGGGCTCCGGGCTGGGCTGGGCCGGGCGGGAGCGGGGCTGGCGGGACAACGCGTGTCGCTTCCCCCCCGCAGCAGCGAGGCCGTGGTGGCGGAGCGGCGGGAGGTCGGCGAGGAGCCCTGCGAGCTGCGGCTGCAGTGCCGGCCCGGCGCCGAGATGGTGTCCGTGGGCATCGTGAGCCAGGCCCGGAACATGGAGGTGTACGTGGGCGAGGAGTACTGCGGCACCGGCCGGGGACAGAGCCGCGGCAGCCGCGCGGCGCCGGGGTGAGTGGGGGGAACAGCACACGCTGCGGGCAGCTCTGTGCGTGTCTCTGTGAGCTGCTGCTGCTGTTCGAGAGCTGATGTCTGTAACAGGGCTGAGGGAACTGAGGCTGTTCAGCCTGGAGAAGAGAAGGTGCCTGGGGAGAACTTAGAGCCGTTTGCACTGCCTAGGAAGGCTGCGAGGGAGCTGGAGAGGGACTTTGGACACGGGATTGGAGAGACAGGATGGGGGAATGGCTTCACACTGCCGGAGGGCAGGAAAGGCTGCGAGAGAGCTGGAGAGGGACTTTGGACACGGGATTGGAGAGACAGGATGGGGGAATGGCTTCACACTGCCGGAGGGCAGGCTTAGGTGGGGTATTAGGAAGAAACGGTTCCTTGTGAGGGTGGTGAGACCCTGGCACAGGATGCCCAGAGCAGCTGTGGCTGCCCCTGGATCCCTGGCAGTGCCAAGGCCAGGCTGGACAGGGCTGGGAGCAGCCTGGGGCAGTGGAAGGTGTTCCTGCCCATGGCAGAGGTGGCACTGGGTTACTTTAAAGTTTCCTTCCAGCCCAGCCCATTCTTGGGTTCTGTGAAAGTCTCTTTGATAATTAGTCCTCTCACACTTCAAAGAACAAGAGAGAAGAGTTTAAAAAGAAGGTTTTGCTTTCCCCTTCAGTACTTCCTTCCATGCTTTGCCGGGGGAAATAAAGCAGTGTTTCTGTTTTAAGTCATTACATGGCACATCTGCTGCTTAATTAGCTAACTAGAAACGAGTCGACTCAGGGCCTCGGGGAGGATGTGTGAATAATGTACTGAACCTCAGAAGCTTCTCTAGTGAACAGTGCAAGCACACATACGAGTAATTTTTACATAAATATTTCACAAGATTCATGACAAGTTGCATATAAGTATTAAAGCTGCTGTTAGAAAGTAAAAAACGGCTGAAAACTAGAAACTAAAAGTGCTGTTAGAAACCATAAATCTGCATTAGAAATGTGTTCCAGTCAGTCTTGTTTCTTATCTAAATATTTACCAATATAGTGTATTTCTACAAAAGAAAAGTACCTTGTAAATTGATGTCACAGCTTGTTTATTTTATTTTTCTAGTGAAACTGAAGAGGTTACTTTATACCACAAGTACCTTAAGTTTGAATGCCCTGCAGCCTCCTGTAGAATTAAGGTAGGGAGTTGAAGAGCATTGTTTTATTCTATCTTCTTAATCACTTAATCGACTAAATTGCATTGCTCTTAGTAAAATTATTGGTTTTACACACTTCATCTCCTCACATAATCACTTAAAAATCTGCTGGCTGGTACTTTGTCTTGATGGCAGAGTGCTTCTTTTAAATTGGTATCTCAGTTTTTGTGAAGACTATGTGATACAGATAACTTAGTCTAGAGAAAAAAACCATAAACCAGATAAACTGCAGATCTAGAATTAGAAGTGTCAGCTCTGGGGTTAAATAAGCTTGTGAAAATTGTGTGGCCACTACTCTTAAATGCTTAGAAAAACTTCATTTATCTTTGGGGTACTCAGGCACCTGTGTTCCAGTCAGAATTTTATGGGGAATAATAGCAAGGAGAAATTGGCTTAATTTCCCTGGAAACGAGTTCATCATAATTTTTCCCAAGACTCAAAGAGCAATGCATTGTCCCCTATGTACAAAGAAAACATGAAATAGTTTTTTTCTCTAACCAAAGTATTTTCTTTCCTTCTTGCAATAGCTGCTCTCCTTTGGTGAGAAACACAGAGTACTCATCAGTAAAATAATTCTAGAAGTGAAAGCAGTGTCTGCAAAACTAGCAACTGATTTTCCTTCACTAGGCTCAAGCATAGACCTAGACAGAGTGCAAACTATAATGGAATCCATGGGATCTAAGTTGTCTCCAGGTGCTCAGCAGCTCATGGACATGGTCCGGTGTCAGCAGAAAGTAAGTCACTTTTCCACAAGCACAAACTGGCACTTTGCCAGTTGGGAATGCTCGAAAAAGATTTTTGGGCTTTTTAATCTGCGCTTTCTGCCATTTCCATCCTGATTGATCTGTTGCCACTCAAATGAGTGCAATGAGTAAAGATTGTGTTCTCCAGGATGATGATTATTATTATTTGCATTGTTGTAATTTTAAGCTTCACTGCCACCCTGCTCTCCTTTTTCCTGTTTCCATTGCCACTGCTGACCATGCCAAGGATGGTGGGCATCTTCCCTGGAATGTTTGGGGTGTAGATAGATGGGCTGGTTTCTCTCTTTAATGGTCATTATAACCATGTGGCTTTCAACTAAAAGGAACATGCTCTCACAGAACATTTACTATAGATCCTAGTCCTGCAAAGTGGGTGTATCAACAGAATCCTGAATCCATCTGAGGTTAATAATTCAGTTTTGGGGATACAGCATGGTAAAAATGAAGTCAGTAAAGCTCTTTTCTTTTAGACACTGACAAGATGATTAATACTTCATACTTACAAAGAATGTAGTTCAAAACTACTTTTAAAATCTTTACTAGTAGAATGCTGGGTTATAAAGTATCTATTGTTATTGCTGTGTAATTTCTAGTATATTTGAAATCTCCAATACTCAAATGGGATTTTCTCCCCACCAGAACAGTTTCCCATTTGGAGACAAGCTCAGTTGGATCCTGGGGAGAAATTCTGACTTTGGAGGTGACCGTGCAATGGATGGAATGCACAGAGCAGCTCTGCAGTCATCACTGAGTCCATCAGCCAGTGAATCTTTGCCTGTTAAAAATCATTTAACAAGTGAAGCAGTGTATAAAGATGTAAAAATAACTCGTGATCTGAACTCGGAGGTACCTGAAAGAGGGAATACGTTGGATTCTGAAAGACTTCCTACCCAGCAAAATGCAGTTGACCTCAGGAATGATTTGAAAGTCATGGGATCTCTGCAAGTGCAGCAGCAAGCAGGTGAAACTCCAAACGTGGCCAACCCACAGGTGCTTCTTCCTTTTCTTCAAAACTTGTGCACTCAGGTGAATCACCTTCGGCTCAAGGATGGAGAGAGGCACCCTGGGAAGAGTGCAGTGGCTAAAGAGGAGAGTGTTCAGAGTGCTGGGTGAGTTAAGTTTGATCAATCTCTCAAAGTAATATTGACTGTTTACTGACAAGTTAAAACAGAATGTGTAATGTAAGCATTTTCTTCTCATTAGCAGCAGTAGTGAATTTTAGAATATGTGGTTTTGAAGGCTGTGTGGTGATGAGTATTACAATTTTTCAATTTCACAATTGTTTTGAATGTAGGAGTTTTTCAGAAGAAGTCACATCATTTGTTGTTACTAAACTGTTTTGTATTCTACCTCCATTTAATCTAATTTAAAAAGCATGTTTCTTCATACACATTTAGCTTGCCTTTCTCATTTACTATATTTCCATTTTGATTACTTTTACCCCTAAATTCTCACATCTTCCCTTTTTCACACAATGTGGCACAATCTTTCTGCTGTACTTGGTCTGCATCACCACTGATTTTCCTGTTCCTCCTCACTTGCTGGCATTTACAGTGCAGGTGTCACAGTTACCCAGTTTGGTACCTCAGGGACAATAGTGGAACTCGTGAGATGTGGGAATCAACACTTAATGGAGACTGAATATCTCAGCTCCAGTATTTTTAAAAGAGTGTAGATGCAAACCCAGGGAGTTGCATAGTTTGGATAACTCTTGAAGCACTTTTGCTGACAAGGACAGTCTGCCATGCTGACAGAATACAAACTCTGTGTATATTGTTGATTTGTGTGGATTTTGTTTTGTATAATTAAGCTCTCTAATGCATATTTGAGCCTTTGAAAAAACAAGGTTGAAAGAAAATGACTACATACAGTAGCATGTTTATGAAAGAAAAAATTTAAAGATTTAAAGTGTGGCAGGCAGGGTATTTTGCTTGTGCTAGAAACCTAATGCCTTCCAAAGTTCATTGCCTGGTAAATGAAACTTTACATTTAAAAGATGTTCAGGTGCCCAGATCTCTATATTGCCCCTTGTCATTAAGAAATAGGTTATACTTATTCTTATCTTTGCTCTTCTTACAGAGTGGAACAACAGCCTATTTGCTCCTATTTGGAAAAGATCATTTCAAAAAACCTGGATCTGATGGAGAAGAAACTAATGGACTATATTGACTGCCAAATCCAGGCCCTTCAGACACACATAGACAATAAAATGTTTCTCTTGATGGACTTGGTTCAGAACTCAAAACCAAACAAAATTTCCCAAGCACACTATGATTCTAACGAGGGGTTTTCTAATGGAGAGAGATAGAGGGATTCAGGTGTAGGGTTTCAGTGTGAACACCTGGAGTAATTACACTTTACAAAGCCTAGTATTTATGCAGTTCAAACTATGAAGAACCTCAGTGTTGTTAACTGGCATTTTGTTACTGTAATTCTATCCACTGTTGTACACACTTGTTAGTTTTATGAAAGATCTTAAGAATGTGTTTTTTCCTAAATATAAGAGTTTTGTATGCCCTTTGTGGCTTATTTATTTAAAGAGCATTGCTAGAAGCTGTATGAACAGTCCCCCAGTTCCAGTTTGAACAATGGAGTACTCTCAATAAACTGAGTTACTGCTTATCTTTTTACTTACATGTAATCAGCTCACTTTTTTGGGTTGTGTTAATTTTTGATATGAAATGTGTTATCAGTAGAACAGAATGCAGTTTGTTCTTTTGCTTTATTGGCATTCCTGTTGAAGACATTTCTTGTTCCATCTCTAAAAGGAAGGTTGGATTGTCATTGCCTAATTTGGGCAGTTTATGGAGCTGTCTTTGCAAAGAAAGCTGAGGGAATGTGAACCCAGCCTGGGTTCTTTGGAAGCCTTGTTGGCTGTACAGGCACCTAAATTAGGAGTCTAGGCTCCTTAAGAGATACCTAAAACAAGACTGTGCTGCTTCTCTCCCTCCTAAACTAGCTGAGTGTGCAGGAGCAAGTGCAATGAACGCGAACTCAGCAGACTTTATCCAGGTTTCGTTATCCTAAGAAGTGCAAGTACTTCATCCATGGTTCCTCTCAAGTGGATGTTGCTCCCAGACAGGGTGTGCTGGGGTAGCTCCAGACGACCAGAGGAGTTTTCCTTACTGCATCACATTTCCTTTAACCCGTTGGGATCAGTTTTGCTGTCATTTGGGGAGGTAGGAATGTGACTCCAAATCCCTCTTCTGTGGCAGGTTGAGTTTCAAACTTCATTCTGTTTGCTGCCCTTGGATTCTGGGGTGTAAATTGGAGGGTGTAGGGAGTTCATGGTAAACCCCTCAGTTGGGTGCACAAACATTCCTGGCAAAAGCTGTTGATGGGGGAAGCAAGTGTTGGCTCAAAAGCATGCATAAGCATGTCCAAGCCATTATCATTATTTACTCTGCCTGATACTTCCTTTTCCAGGAAAACTGATGTATTTTGAAGACTGTCAGATCCTGGTGGTAGCAAACACACAGAAGCTGGTTTGGAAGAGAGGATAATCTGATCTGAAAAGGCATCTTGCACTTGTCCCTGATCATAACTCCTGCCAGGTGCAGTTTAAAAAAGGGGAAAAAATGTATTTTTTTTTTAGATGAAAGGATCTTAATTATCTTGTACTTCATACCTGTAAAGGTGTAGCCTATCCTGAGGTAAACACACTTTTTCAACTCAGTGACTTGAGATAAAGTATTAAATTGAGACGGTCTTGGGTTTGGATTTTTTTATTTGATAACCAAAGAAGTTGAAATGAATTTCTGAGTATTGTTGAGTTCCAATGCTGTTAATGATTTTTTATCTTTTCCCTCTTCCCTCTCTGGGTGACAAATATGAACAGCAGTTGACACTAAATAGAATTGTCCAGAAGTAGTTAAAATGACCTCTGGACATCTTGATTGCCGTATCCTACCTGGTGCTTGTGATGCTTCAGTATCACAGCTACCACAATGAGAATGTTTGAAATTAAAACCACAAATGCCAGAGTGTAGAAGTTGTATTGTTGCAGGTTTGGTGTTTTTTCAGCTTCTACTTCAGTGAGGAATTCTGTGTAGAGAGAAAAAGTGCTTAAAGTTTAGAATAGTGTATGATTTAACTGGGAATTGAATAAGCCTTTTTCACATGTTTTCATTTGACATGACTGACAGAGTGCAAATCCTGAATATGTAGTACTGAAAAGTTGTAAAAATTGGTAATAAAACGATCCTACAGAACAACATCATGACGTTCAATTCTTTGGTGCTGTTGCAGCCAAGTTTCTGCCAAGCAGTGCTGTCACCATGAGAGAGATGAGACATTTGCTGAAGCAAAGTTAGGCAAAAAAAAAAAAAGCAATTTGTGGTTTCAGTGGTTTCCTATCTGCTTCTCTGTAAAACTTATTCTGCTTTATAATATTTGTACTTGAATATTTGCTGTTGAGTTACAGATGTGTTCACTTCCACACATACGGATGCAAAATCTATCACAATTGAAAGAAATGGCAACATTATCTAAAATGTTGCTGGAGTTTAGAAAGGTTAATACTTAAAAAAAAAAAAGGAAAAATATTCAAATAACTATTAAGAGCAAGATTAATTCTAAGTATTTCCTAGATCTGATACCTGAAAGCAAGTGGCCCAATGTGCTTTTGTCAGGTGGAGCTTTGGGCTCCATAAAAGTGAGAACAATGAGCACAGTGAAAGTAGCAATACAAGCTTTTAAAAATAGCTTTTCCATATTTTGTAGTTTCTCTTTACTCTCAGTACCTGACTACTGCAGATCAGACTGCAAATGGCACCAAAGCTTAGCTGTCTTACAAACACCTCTGCAGCTCTTTAAAGGCATGGTGGTTTTGGTTTCTGCTCTCAGGACTGTCCTTTTTACTCCTGTGCATGCAGTGGGAGGATTTAACCTGGCCTAGAGTCAGTCAGCTGCGTTTATTATTTTTTGGTTTCTGCTCTCAGGAGTGTCCTTTTTACTCCTGTTCTGTGCGTGCAGTGGGAGGATTTAACCTGGCCTAGAGTCAGTCAGCTGCGTTTATTACCTGGAGCACCAACAACAAAACTGAGTGAAGCACACACATACATATAATTATGTTTTTATTTTTCCCCTCTTACCTGAGTGCTCAGCAGCCCTGAGATCTCTTTTCAGGCGGATGGGACCCACCACAGTGTTAGTTTTCCACGTGTAGGGAGAGATGGCTCTTTTCTGCCTGGAGATGCAGCCTCTGGCACAGCGGGAGTTGGTGGTGTTGCTGTCACAGATCACAACGTCACACTGGAGATAAACTGATGGGAAGCTCCTCAGGAACCTGAAGGCCCTAAATTTGAATCTTCCATGGTTTTCAAATGCTGGGTAGGTTACCACAGTGTCATCTTTATTGCAGCTGCAAAAGGATGTGCAGATCTGTTAAAAGAGTCCACTTGGAATAATCATTCTGGCTAAGTCCTGTGAGCTGTAACTACAGCATTTAACCAGGGCACTGTTCCTACACGTGGGCATACAATGATGTGCTTTTTTGCCTTTGTCCAGCATCACGTGGTACATGTTTTTCCTAGCTCTGTTTGTGGAACATCTTTAAATTCATCTGCAACTTCCAATCACAACCTACTAAAGAAGGTAAGTGGAAAAGACAACAATAAATGAAGTGCAGTTGACATTTAGATCCCATTTCCTCACACATTAGGAGACTAATGAAATCAGCCTTACCCACTCCTGATTAAGTCGTATGTCAGTGATCCAAAACCAGGCTGTGGAGATGCAGTGCAGGTATCAATGAACACCTGGAGGTTTGGGTCAGTGGAATGAAGAGTCACTTCAGCAAAGAGAGTTTGGTTCAAGTCTACGTAGTATGGGGAGTACTGGATGGGCTTGGAGAACAAATCTGACTCGTAGAAGGCCATGCTGACGTTGTACCTCCCCCAAGCAGCCAGGTTTTGGATGGCATTGTTTGTCGTGGTGTAGATGAGCTCCAAGGTTTCGTTGTTGCTCATTGTGCACTGAGCAGTGATCTCGGTGTTCCTGTGGCGGGTGATGGCGCTGCCAGCTGGAGCCAGGGAGATGGTGTTGGTGTAAGTGATGCTGTGCCCTTCATCCTGGGAAAGGAACGTGCCAAGGGCTCAGCTGGGGCTGCACCAACAGAGCAGTTGAAAAGAATTGTAGCTGAACTGACAAACCTGCCCAGGTGTGCTTATCAGAGGCTTGGAACTGTGAAACAGGCTGCAGCCAAAAAATCTTATCAACTATTCTCCTGTTTTTTCCTAAACACTGAAGCAATCCAGGCAGCAACAAGGTTAAGGAATAGTGCATGGAGCATGGGAAGTACCAAAGCTATGCTCCAGTACCCTTATCAAAACAGTGCTATGAACTAGCTCTTGGCAATCTTTTGGGGGATAATTTGTGTGGATTCTCCCATATTTCTGTTGAAAAGTTCATTATCATCAGATTCTTAAAGAGGAAAAATGTTCTTTGTATTTCAAGACATGGTATGGGATGAGTGAAGTGAAAATACAATCAATGTACTCACATGCTATTCATACACTGCTTTTACCAGCTCTTATCTTTCCTAAGCTCTTGTTAGCTTATTCAAATTTTTATCCACTTTACCTTTTTAATTGTTCCACAGCTGGCCAATGGGAAGGAGAAGATCACTGAATCTGTTACAACTGGTCTGCAAGATGGATCGTTCAGCTGCAGGTGAGCTTCCCTAAAGCCAAGGGAGGCCAGGTAAGACTTGCTCAGAACAATTCTCATGCTGTCTGAGGAGCATGTAAGGCTTGCTGCCATTGAAAAAGAATCAAACAAAACCAAGAACATCAGGACAAACAGCAGCGGTCATTTTTCACTTTGTCTAAATCCTTGAACTTGTCTGATGATTCTGGATTTGTCAGTGAAAAAGCTCATGTCCACTTAAGGTCATGCAGAAGTTGCACAAAAGTTTCATGCTTAACTTCAGAATTAGAGCAAAACCCCATAAAACTCATGCTGAAAGTTTAATTTAAAACCCAGTAACACAGAAGGGTCTCTGCATTTTTAAAGGGGAAAAGGAATCAAAGTGCTGGTGCAGAATGGTGGGTAAAGAAATTGATTTATCTCAGGCACTGAGGCTTTAGAAACTCCTTTGCACCTCAATTAATCAGTTAGAATTTAGAAACTGCTTTGCACCTTCAATTAATGGGAAGATGGGCATGCAAGGATACAGAACCAATAAGGAAAATAAGGCCCAGCTCAGGGGGAAGGGAAATTACAACACATCTAAACTCTGACTGACCTGTGCAGACCAGGAAAATTCCTGAGTGCCTTAGGCAACAAAACCATTTAAACTAACCAGACAATAGGAGTTTATCTTTGCATCTTAGCGTGGTAACAATGTTTTGTACAAAAGAAGGAAAACCTCAGATTTTAAGTGGTGCCAGCCAGAAAAAAAACCACCCAAAAGTGAAAGAACTGTTTTTCCTTTACAGATGGGTCAGGAAGTAACTTACGCTCTATAGGTGAGAGAATGTGGGATTTTTGTGTGTAAAGGGGGTTAAAAGACTACCAATAAAAAGGCTTAACTCCTCAGTATCAACCATCAGTTCTTTTGGATGTTTGTAAGAGAAGAATCACATCATAAAAACAATCAGCATCCTCTCCATGCAGCAGGGGCACTCACTGTTGGGCTCCATGGGGCCTGGCAGGGGAGCAGTGGAATACTGAGCTGAAAATCCTCTGTAGGAGTTGGTGTCATCTGTGGACAGCACAACTGTCATCATGTTGGAAGCAGACTCAAAGGTGGGCTGGGCACGCCCACACACTTTCCCCAAGAGCCCAGAGTCAGTGGTGGGGCCATCATAGACTGCTGTGAAGTCAAGCTGGCAGTTTCTGTCCAATTCCAGGCTGCAGACAGAGGAAAAATCATTACAGGGAAATCTGAGTGTGGCTTTGGTTGTAGTGGATAGAGGATTCAGTGCAGATAAAGTGTCTGAGAGTTCCACACAACTGAGGTGATAGAATGGGGAACAGAACACCACAAATAGACATAGTTAAAACCAAATAAAACATGTAAAAATTATTATGTTTCTCAAAATAATTTTTAAAGATTCTGAAACCCCTTGTGTGTATCACAGAGCAAGATTCTTGCAATTTTTCACCAGTGGAGGGTGAATTCTCTCAGATCAGCATTAGAGATGGACCCTGGCCAGGAAAGCTCAGAGCATATTCCACCCTGTGCAGAGATAATCATCTCAGAGGGCAGTGGTCAAGGTAAAGATTTCCTGTGGAATCCTGTACATTTCATACTGAATTCTTGCAGGGCATTCTGCAGTCTGAATATCTCAAGAAATGGACCTGCACCTCGTGGGTGGTCACCTGAGATGTTTTCTGCATTTCCCTGACTGGCACTGCAGCTGCTTTAGGGTAATGTACAGGGATGTGAAACACTTTGCAATCATTTTATCATAACAGTCAACAAATCCCTTTATTTTAAAGGTGTACAGATGTTCTAAAAGTTAAAAAGCACTTCTTCCTGTGTTTAACAAAGTAATGCCTTTAAACAGAATGTGTAAAGAGAAACAGAACATTTATAAATATATATATATAAAAATAGGGATATATATACAAAAAAAATCTCTTTTATATATATATATATAAATGAATATAAATAGGGAATTTACTCACAAAAAATCTTGAAACTCCAAGCTTATCTTTGAGTTTTTTGGTGCTTGTATGTGCCAGACACAGTATCTGAATTGAGGGTAAGGTGCTGGGTAGTTGGGGCTGCTGAATGTCCCATTGGGACCAGTTAATTGTCCCCCACAGTTTTCGGTTTCTGAAAAGGAGAGGAGATATATTGGTAAGAGAATAAGTCATATAAAAACCCCAAACCTTATGTAACTATCAAGATTGATTCTTTAGGACTCCAGTCCTTTGGAAATGATTAAAGGTACTAAAGATGGAAATTCCATAGGGAATTCGAAGTCAGGTGGAATTACAGAATGGAGCCAATGGTCACTGTTTCTGTGAGGCTCAGTGTGATGACCCCTGAGCTGGCTGTAGATGAGTTAACTTTGGCACTGGGAGCAGCTTAGTGAGAGCCACATTTATCCACATTTTGGATAAATTTGGTGCCCTCTTGAAAAACTGCTAATGAAGATGCTACACCAACCATACAGGATTTGTATGGAAGTGCAAAATCTGCAAGTATGAGAGAGATTTTACTTCCTAGACAAAGGCAAAAAAAAAAAAAATCAAACCAGTGGAACCTCAGACAAATGTAGACTAGAAACAGGGCAGAATTTTTCAGCAGCAAAATTAAATTGGAGCAGCATGAACAAGGATTTGGTAACTAATCTGTAAAATTAAGTTTTTAAGAGCTTAATACCATGCCACCAGGTTAGCAGAAGCAAAGGGGCTCGTCACAAGCTAAGATTTATTTTGTCCAAGCTATTCTTATCTTTCAAAAGAAAAAGAGTAAGGAGCTTATTGAATTAAAATCCTTACTGGCTTCTGTGATCTGTACTTGGCAGGAGTTCTGACTAGATGGTCAAAATCTCCTGGGTAAATGCTGTAATATCTGCAAGCTGACTACATTTCATAGAAGTCTGGAAGTAAAGTCCCATAATGTCACCTTTGCCATCACTTTTCTAAGTTAAATTTAACTGCTTAGGATCTCTGCAAACACATTGCTTGTTCCTCTTTCCCTGACTTTTGCCCTACTCCATTCTCTGAGGCCTGAAGACCTGAGTGAGACTGATTAAAGCTTCTTTTATGATGTTTCATTGCTGCAGTTGAAATGTTATTTAATGGCTTACTTGATCCTGGTGAAAAGAAGTAGTAGTAGACAAAGAAGTTTCGTGTGAAAGCCACGGAGTTGGTTGTTATGAGAAAAGTTAAACTGTCTGAGGATGATTCAAGCACTGGGACTGCATCTGTGCCATCACACACTTGTCCAAGGAGAGCTGAAGCAGCGGAGGGACCATCAAACACTTTAATGCTTTCTGTTTCACAGCTTGAAGAAGGAGCAAATCTATTGGGAAAAGCACAGTGAGAACCACCTGAGCTCCTTGGCAGACACACAGGCTCGTGGGTAAACTTGCACAGGGGTTGGGGCAGTCCCACAAATCCAGGCTGGGTGGAGAATGGGCTGGGAACAGCCCTGAGGAGATGGATTTGGGGGTGTTGGTGAATGAGAAACGCAACATGACCCGAAAGTGCAACACTGAAAATGAATGGGAGATTGAGGGAGGAGATTCTTCTCCTCTGCTCCCATGGGACCCCACCTGGAATGCTGCTTCCAACACAAGAAGGATGTGCTGGAGTGAGTCCAGAGGAGGCCATGGAGATGCTCCCAGGGCTGGAGCCCCTCTGCTCTGGGACAGGCTGGAGAGCTGGGGGTGCTCACCTGGAGAGGAGCAGCTCCAGGGAGAGCTCAGAGCCCTGCCAGGGCCTGGAGGGGCTCCAGGAGAGCTGGAGAGGGACTGGGGACAAGGGATGGAGGGACAGGACACAGGGGATGGCTCCCACTGCCAGAGGGCAGGGCTGGATGGGATTTGGGAAGGAATTCTTCTCTGTGAGGATGGTGGGACCCTGGCACAGATTCCCAGAGCAGCTGTGGCTGCCCCTGGATCCCTGGCAGTGCCCAAGGCCAGGTTGGACACTGGGGCTTGGAGCAGCCTGGGACAGTGGAAGGTGTCCCTGCCATGGCAGGGGTGGCACTGGATGGGCTTTAACTCACATCCAACTCAAACCATTCTAGGATTCTCTGGAGGGCACAACACAGATTCAACAGAGAGAAATATTTAGAGGCAATCCATTTCTGTGCTATATTCTAGTGAAATGAAACAGTACAAAAGCATCTGTAGGAAATACTTACTTAAAATAGGAGAAAATGAGCCTAATTGTTTGATTTGCATTCCTCTGGATTTGCCAGGTGCAGCTTGCATTTGCATTTAGTTCAATCCTTAATGCTTTGTTGGGCTCATGAAGTGAAGCCCCACAGCGAGGCACCCCTGTTGAACAGCAACAACCACAAAAACAGCTTGCAAGGATATCTCTCAAGTTTTCTCTTGCAGTAAATATTTAATCCTCCATTATGCAAAGACTGGAAGAGTCCATCATCAAACAGATATGAAAAAATGTGCTTATTTAAATAAATTTATTTTATTTTACTTCATCTTATGATATCTGATGAATCAGATGGTAAAAGAATATTAAAATGCCATGGTTTATCCTGGTTTACCTAGTAGCACAGAAAAGGATCAAGCCAGGAGCACAACTGGAAATGCCAAGCACTGCAGGACACCTCAGCCTCTCTCTTCAGCAAGGTTTGTCACCACAAGCAATTCAAGCCTTGGGACTTGTAAGTACTCTTATTAAAAAAAACCCACAACTCAACTATGTCTGACATCACTGACACTACTTAATAGGTTAGGAAGTGGTTGAAGTAATGGCCATTGGATAGGAAACTTTGGAGAAAGTTTAGAATCCACTCTGAACATAAGATCTTTCTACTTTAATATTAATATAAAAAAAATGGCCTAAAGCAGTCAGAAGAATTTTCTGTAGTGTGCATGCAGCCCCAGAAAATAAGGTCAGGCTTTCTGATGGACTCCAGAGGGAACAGAAAGGTTTAGGAGAGACTTTTACCATCAGAAATGAAACCTCCTGTCTGTAAGAGGATTACAGGTCAGTCCTACCCTCCTGCACCCTCTGGGGTCTGGGGTCAGACACCCCTGGAGCAGCTCTGCTGCAATATTTCATTATCCTGCAATAGCTACCCTCCTTTAATCAGCCACATTGCTGATCTGAGCACAGAATGGGGATCCCAGACTGAGCAACAAACAGCTCTTTATTGCTTCTGATTGAACAAAGGAAACATGGACAAATCTCTGTCAAAAGCAAACATTTCCCAATTAGTCCCCTGATTTCTGTTATTCCAATATAGTATTAATTTATAAAAGCACATTTACATTCCAGAGTAAAACTGCTTCAAAATCAAGTTCTTAAATTAAAATAACTGCCATAGGGTGGAATGTATAGAATATTTTTTATTATTTACCATTTTTAATGCTTGCAGTCACGTTTAGGTGTCACTATCATGCCATCAGCACATTAAAATAAGATTCACTTTCAGAGGTGTTTAACATTTTGCCCTTCCATTGCCTATATAAGACCTGTTGTGCAGAAATCAATAAAATCTCACAGATAAACAGATTTCCATACCTGTGAATTCTTTGCTTTCAGAGAGAGCCAGAGCAGTGAAGAGAGGCAGGAGGAGGAACTGCCTGAGCAGCTGCATTTTGAGGGCAGGTGGGGAGGGCAGGCTTTGGCTTTGCTGACTTTTATACCTCCTGCTATTTCACAACCATCCTGTGGTACCAAGAGGGAGGGTTTAATCTGCCAGTCCCTGTTTCTTTTTAACAGATATAAATGAGAAAGTAACAGGTGGGTCTATTTTTTAAGCAGGCACCGTGTGGAGTAAGTTTGAAGTGTTTTTGTCAGCTCTCAAAGCTGGTTCAAAGCACATTTTCCAGTAGACTTCATTGAGAGGCTGTTCAGGGGTGTTGGCATGAGCAGGAATGTCGTGGAAGGGATTGACAGACTCCCTTGGGAGACACATGTGCGGTTTTCTCTCAGCACTGCTCAGCAGGAGTTTGGTTTCTCCCACCTTCATTTTGACCTCTCTCCCTCTAGGTTACACTGGGCAGATCATTCCCTGTCCTTGCTGAAGATTGCAAAGTGCAGCTGCTGTAAAAGAGTTGTCATGAATGTATTGCTGAAACGCCCAGGGATGAGCAAGGCCAGGTTGTCACAGATTAAAAGAAGGAGATTGCACTGCAACCACTTGGCAGACAGGGCTTTCTCAGCCCCACAGTAGGAGCTAGAGGAAAAAAGGAATCAGCCTTTCCTTCCTGAGGCAAGGAAACAAGCACAGCCCTGAAAGCCTGAATTCCTTTCAGCACAACTTTAACAAAGTACCTGTCCCAACACATTCACCCTGTTTTGTCTCATAAGGACCAAAGCTCTGAGCTGCAGAGTATTTCTCAGTGCAGCAGTGAGTTCCCAGGAATTAAAGCTCCTGAGCTGAGCCCGTGCCAGTGGCCCAGGTGTGCTCTTACCTGGCCTTGGGTCAGGCTGGTACCTGGGTGGACAGCCAGGGCTCCCTCAGGAGCTGCTGAGGGCAGCACAAACCCCACAGCTGTGCAAACAGGGCTTCTCCAACTTTATAGAAAATAAAGGCAAGACCTTCTTGAAACACAGCCAGGTGCTTTTCTTCCATTGTAATGGGGTTTTTTTTTGGACAAAACCATTTTCTTTTATGAGCAAATTGATATATAATGCATTTGTAATGATACTGTATTTCTAATCCCAGACCTATGCCTTCTTTAAAACAACTCTCTCTGATTTTTAACTCACTTAAAGGATTTTGAATGCAACTGTATCTTCATCCTGAAATGTACTTACACTGCTTTTGAGGGTGGAGGCACTAAATAGATGTTTAAAGATGTTGCACAGCATTTGAATTCCCTTTGGCTTCTGGAAACGCTAAATTTGCATTTACTCTGTGTAGCCTTTTATTTCTCAAACCCACACACGTACTTGCAAGGAATTTTTGAATGCTAACATCCCTTTTGTGCCTGGATGTGAATCTGCAGTGAATGTGTGAGCTGGCATGTGGATCCCTGCCAGTCAGTGCTGTGTCCTTCAGAACCCAATGCCCTTTAAATCATTATCTGTGAGAAGCAGAGCACAGGGTTAGGAGTGTGGTGGAGTTTTGTATGGGCTAAGCATGATCAGAACTAAAAGAACATTGAGAAGAAAACAAAATCTTGAGAAAAAAAAGAGGCAGTTGATCCAATTATTTTTTTGTCACTGAGAGTATTTACTGAGTTTAGGCTTTTACAGATCTGCTGTATAGAGCAGAAAGATCTGAAATCAAGCAACCCAAGTTCATTTAAGATTAAATACCTTTAGATTTACACCCACTGGTATATTTTTAGAAATAAGCAGCAGATCTTGGAACACAGTGAACAGGTCTAGAGGTGCTCAACACAATGTCATGGTCAGAAGCTTCATTACTGGGGATCGATGATGACAAGGACGCCGTCATTTGTGCTTCTCCTGACTCTTCTGTACACTGGGAAGGGCCTGGGGTAAGGGAGCCTGTTCCCTGGGAATGGTCTGGGGTAAGGGAGCCTGTTCCCTGGGAAGGGCCTGGGATAAGGGAGCCTGTTCCCTGGGAAGGGTCTGGGGTAAGGGAGCCTGTTCCCTGGGAAGGGTCTGGGATGAGGGAACCCGTTCCCTGGGAAGGGTCTGGGATGAGGAAAAGGGGGCCTGTTCCCTGGGAAGGGTCTGTGAGGAGGAGTAGGAGGGCGTATGGTGCACCCTGATACTTTGCACCATAGGCAAACTCTGCTGTTTACAGGAGCTCTGTAACGGAGCTGGGTGAGCCTCTGGCCTGATGAAAGGTGAGTCCCACAGGTTGGGTCGTACACACACCTGAGAAAGGAAAAAAAAACCAACCCCACATATTAATTGTCATGTTACGATTGTGGCATGCTGACCAAGCCCGTTTGTGTCCTCGGTTGCAAGAAACTTTCTTCCAAAAATGTCCAGCTGTGATGTTAAATCACAACTCACAGCACTGAACCCCTGTTCATTCCATGCCACTGCGTGGAATTTGGATGTCTGTTGGTGTAATGTGCATCACAACCCATACAAATGTCACACGTGTAAAGCACCTCGTGGAATTTTGTCAATATATGTTAAATCACATTATAAGCTGTACAGTGATGAGGTAGAGTTTTACTGCACACTCTGCTATGGTTCGTGCTTAATTAAAACAAACTAAAGGACAGCCCAGCCCTGGAAAGAAGGATTTTGATTTTTGGAAGCTTAGAGCTGTCCATGAAGGATTCCCCTGGGCAGCCAAGACAACACCGGCATCCCAGCCCCTCTGGTGTGTCTTTGAAACCCTGCCAGCATCACCTGGTGCCATAAATCAGTGACTCCAGCAAGAATGGCTCCAGGGACATCTGGATCAACAGACATGCACCAAGAATGTCTGTCTGTTTCCAAGAAATAATGGTGTTTACAAAACTTTAGTGTGGTTAGTAATTGGTAGTATGTGTATCACTGAGTAGCCAAATCAAGTTGTACCTGAGCATTTGAAGGGTGTAAGAAAATGGTGAAATCATGTTTGGGGTATCCCAGCTTGGCTGGGGCATCTCACATGCATGAATAAATATTTACCCTTCCAATGTTACTTCTGGCATCCCAGGTCTCCTTGGCTGGCACAGCTTGTTTAGGTATTTCAGCAGCAGCAGCTTCACGTAGTTAGGCAGGGGAATGAACTCTGCTGCAGGGGAAGGAATTGGAAGTTGAGAAACCAGAGGTAAGCACAGAGCAGAATGCAGCAGGTATTAAATACTGGCCTGCTTTGCAAATTTAAATGTGGGCCTGGAACAGCAGCTGAGTGGGGAGGAAATTAATTTCTCTCTCTTTGATGATGTTCTATTCTCATTTCTCCCTCCTACAACTAACAACTAACCCCGAGGTGGTGTTGTTCTCTCCTGGAAGAGGGGGAATTTGCCAGGATCAGGAGGTGTCTCTGCCTGTGAGCCCTCCAGAGCACAGGCACTGGCTGGGCAGCAGCTGGCAGGCTGTGGGAGGACATTTCAAATGATTTTTGACCATAAGTGATGCAGACCTGGGCCAGCTCATCCCCTTGGCACTCAGCACTGAGGATGGCTCTGCTGCCAGCTCTGTATAAGCAGTGTGTGGTCCCTGGCTGAGCTGTGGCACTCCCAATCTCTCTGCCTGCATCCAGCCTCTCCCACTCCCCCTGCACTCAGATCCCCTCTGCCACTGCACTGCCAGCCCTTCCCAGCTCACATCTCTTACCCAGGGAATCCTGCCCTTAGGAAGAGAAGTCATTGAAAAGAAGAAAGAATCAGATATCTTACCTGAGCCTGTAGTTGCTGCGTTTGTCTTTGGATTGGCTTTTAATGAAAATAGAAAAGGTTAAAAAGTGAGCTGATCGAGGAAGATATGTGCTTTTATGCCACCAGTTAATTAACATTGTAATGAGCAGAGCACATTAGGACTAGGAAATATTATTAGCAACAGTTCTGAGGAATAAAATTGTCATGGACAAAGGTTTCCTACTAAGGAAAATGTGGGGGCTCGAGTACTACAAGTGACATATTACCGGCATTAATGGGAACAAGATTTAATTCTGTTTATCCCTCTGTGTGAGGTGATAACCCCATGCTCAAATGCCTGCTTTGCAGCTGAAGTTCTGTTTCTTGTGTGTTTTACCAAAGCAGCCAAGTGCATTTTATGCAAGCAGCTGCTATGGCCAGACTCTGAAAGAAACCCTGGGTCTGCTCTGTGAGCAGCTGAGGCAGAATGTTATCAACTAGTGAGCAGAATTTGCAATTCAATTTTTTTCAAAAGGTAAAGCCCACTGTGGAAAACTGAGGTTCAAAGCAAATGAATATGAATATGTCAAAAGGGTTCCCACTGACTCAGCTTCCAGTGGGGATGCAGTTTGGAAGTTCAAGGGAGCTGGCTTTGTAGGGTGAGGTGATCTAGAGGAAATCTGAATTTATATTGATGTGGTGTGTCTGCCCCAGTGAATTCCAGTTCCCTAGAGCTTGCAGCAGAGCAGGTATTCCTCCCACATCAATACTAAAAATGCAGGTCCCTCGATTTGTGGGAAGCCAAAAAAATTATCCCTAAATTTCAATATTAATTCCATGAGATGATGCATGGAGACAGGGAGCCTTGCCAGCACATCATCAGATCCCAGCTTTGGTAGGGAGTTAAGGGCATAAACCAGGGTAAATCTGCTTCATTTACCTGTGGTAATGGCTGTTGTTTCAGGAGGTGGAGGGACTGATGCAGCAGGTGAACTTGGCACTGTGAGAAGAGAAAAGATGAAGTCAAACATTGTCTATGCTCTAATACAGGGATGACTCACATGAAATGCAGTACAGTGCTCACCACAGCTGCAGAAATGACCAGAAATAAATACCTGGGGTTTCAGCTGTTGTGGGCTCAGTTGTGACTGTCAAAGAGAAAACAAAACCACACTTGAGTGCCTGGTCCATTATGGTGTGGGCAAAGCCAGGGCTGTCAAGGGTGTGTGGAACAGGATTTTACTCAAGCTGATGCTTGATCCTGAAATTCTGACCAATATACCGAAGTCATACACACCTGCTGCTCCAGGTGTTGTGTCTTCTGCAGGGGCTGACCAGAGAGAAAACAAAACTGCAGGTTAAAAACTGCTTTCCCAGAGCTGGGCAGGTGAGAGATACCCAAATCTCAGGAGACGCAAGGTCTCGCTTGAGGGCTGGACAATTATTCCAGGGTGGGAGGAAAACACATCCCTGTGCTGCCTCTGACCATGGCACAGCTCTGGGAGCTGGGGCTCTTTGCTAGACACCCCTCAGGAGACTCAAGGTCTCGCTTGAGGGCTGGACAATGTTCCAGGGTGGGAGGAAAACACATCCCTGTGCTGCCTCTGACCATGGCACAGCTCTGGGAGCTGGGGCTCTTTGCTAGACACCACTTTGGGGCTGGGATGAAGTTCCTAACATTCAGTGCCTGCCCAGTGCCATGTGCTGGTGAGGGCTGGGGGTGCCGTGGTGGGGGCTGAAGCTGCCCAGTCCCATGGCAAATACATCCCAGAGGGTGCAGGGATTGGGATGCAGCTCTGGCAGGTGCAGGAAGGTTGATTTTCTGGGAATGGGATGACCAAGAGCAAATCAGGGTTTATATTGATGTAGGGTGTCTGCCCCATCCCAGTGCTTTCATCAGGGCCAGAGTTTCTCTGTTCCTCCTTTCCCTTTTGCTCCTTTATTTTGTCTGGAAGCCAAAGGAAAGGCAATTGTGATTATCTCCAATTATAATTTATGAGATTGTATTATTATGGAGGCAGGGAAGCAGACAATACTTGATGAGAGCATGGCAGACAGCTAAACAAGGAAAGCAGAGCAGCCCTGCATTCCTTACAGGTGGCAGTGTCTGCTGGTGCAGCAGTGGATGCTGCTGCTGTGAGAAAGAAAAGATGAATTTTAATATTGTCTGCATGTTAAATGTATTTTTTCCCCTGACACCCATAGCATGTAGGTCATAGTTACTCTTTGTTACTTACCAGGGGTAATGTCTGCTGGTGCAGTACTAGGAGAGACTGTTGCTGTGAGAAAAAAAAAGGTGAAATGAAATTTTATATGCATTTTAAATGGTTTTTCCCCTAAAGACTGATAGCATGTACACCACAGTAATGCTATTTTACTTACTTGTGGTTGCATCTGCAGGTCCAGAAGTAGGAGCAACGGTTGCTGTAAAAGAAGAAAAGGAGAAATTAAATTTTATATGCATTCTGAATGGTTTTTTTTCCCCTAAAGACTGATAGCATGTACACCTCAGTAATGCTATTTTACTTACTTGTGGTTACTTCTGCAGGCTCAGCAGTAGGAGAGACTGTTGCTGTGAGAAAGAAAAGGTGAAATTAAATATTAAATGGTTTTTTTTGCTCTGAAACTTGTAGCATGCAATCCAGAGGAAAGCTGTGTCACTTACTGGTGGTATTGTAGCATGCAAACCAGAGTAAAGCTGTGTCACTTACTGGTGGTAATGTCTGCTGGTGCAGTACTAGGAGAGACTGTTGCTGTAGGAAAGAAAAGGTGAAATTACATATGGTGTGTACATTAAATATATAATTTTTGTCCTCAGGACTGATAGAATTTACACCACAGTAATGCTATTTTACTTATTTGTGGTTACTTCTGCAGGCTCAGCAGTAGGAGAGACTGTTGCTGTGAGAAAGAAAAGGTGAAATTAAATATTGTGTGCACATTAAATATATAATTTTTGTCCTCAGGACTGATAGAAGTTACACCACAGTAATGCTATTTTACTTCCTAGTGGTAATGTGTGCTGGTGCGGTACTGGGAGAGACTGTTGCTGTAGGAAAGAAAAGGCGAAATTACATATGGTGTGTACATTAAATATATAATTTTTGTCCTCAGGACTGATAGAAGTTACACCACAGTAATGCTATTTTACTTCCTAGTGGTAATGTGTGCTGGTGCGGTACTGGGAGAGACTGTTGCTGTAGGAAAGAAAAGGCGAAATTACATATGGTGTGTACATTAAATATATAATTTTTGTCCTCAGGACTGATAGAAGTTACACCACAGTAATGCTATTTTACTTCCTAGTGGTAATGTGTGCTGGTGCGGTACTGGGAGAGACTGTTGCTGTAGGAAAGAAAAGGCGAAATTACATATGGTGTGTACATTAAATATATAATTTTTGTCCTCAGGACTGATAGAAGTTACACCACAGTAATGCTATTTTACTTCCTAGTGGTAATGTGTGCTGGTGCGGTACTGGGAGAGACTGTTGCTGTAGGAAAGAAAAGGCGAAATTACATATGGTGTGTACATTAAATATATAATTTTTGTCCTCAGGACTGATAGAAGTTACACCACAGTAATGCTATTTTACTTCCTAGTGGTAATGTGTGCTGGTGCGGTACTGGGAGAGACTGTTGCTGTAGGAAAGAAAAGGCGAAATTACATATGGTGTGTACATTAAATATATAATTTTTGTCCTCAGGACTGATAGAAGTTACACCACAGTAATGCTATTTTACTTCCTAGTGGTAATGTGTGCTGGTGCGGTACTGGGAGAGACTGTTGCTGTAGGAAAGAAAAGGCGAAATTACATATGGTGTGTACATTAAATATATAATTTTTGTCCTCAGGACTGATAGAAGTTACACCACAGTAATGCTATTTTACTTCCTAGTGGTAATGTGTGCTGGTGCGGTACTGGGAGAGACTGTTGCTGTAGGAAAGAAAAGGCGAAATTACATATGGTGTGTACATTAAATATATAATTTTTGTCCTCAGGACTGATAGAAGTTACACCACAGTAATGCTATTTTACTTCCTAGTGGTAATGTGTGCTGGTGCGGTACTGGGAGAGACTGTTGCTGTAGGAAAGAAAAGGCGAAATTACATATGGTGTGTACATTAAATATATAATTTTTGTCCTCAGGACTGATAGAAGTTACACCACAGTAATGCTATTTTACTTCCTAGTGGTAATGTGTGCTGGTGCGGTACTGGGAGAGACTGTTGCTGTAGGAAAGAAAAGGCGAAATTACATATGGTGTGTACATTAAATATATAATTTTTGTCCTCAGGACTGATAGAAGTTACACCACAGTAATGCTATTTTACTTCCTAGTGGTAATGTGTGCTGGTGCGGTACTGGGAGAGACTGTTGCTGTAGGAAAGAAAAGGCGAAATTACATATGGTGTGTACATTAAATATATAATTTTTGTCCTCAGGACTGATAGAAGTTACACCACAGTAATGCTATTTTACTTCCTAGTGGTAATGTGTGCTGGTGCGGTACTGGGAGAGACTGTTGCTGTAGGAAAGGAAAAGTGAACTTAAATATTGTGGGCACAGTAAATATATAATTTTTGTCCTCAGGACTGACAGAATGTATGCCACAGTAATGCTATTTTACTTACTTGTGGTAATGTCTGCTGATGCAGTACTAGGAGAGACTGTTGCTGTGAAAAAGAAAAGGTGAAATTAAATTTTATATGCATGTTAAATGTATATTTTTCCCCTCAAGACTGATAGCATACACCACAGTAATGCTATTTACTTACATGTGGTAATGTCTGCAGGCTCAGCAGCAGGAGAGACTGTTGCTGTGAGAAAGAAAAGGTGAAATTAAATTTTATATGCATTTTAAATGTTTTTTTCCCTTAAAGACTGATAGCATGTACACCACAGTAATGATATTTTACTTACTTGTGGTTGCATCTGCACTCTCAGTAGTAGGGGAGACTGTTGCTGTGAGAAAGAAAAGGTGAAATTAAATATTAATTGTATGTTTTTTGCTCTGAAACTTGTAGCATGCAATCCAGAGTAAAGCTGTATCACTTACTGGTGGTAATGTCTGCTGGTGCAGTACTGGGAGAGACTGTTGCTGTAGGAAAGAAATGGTAAATTAAATTTTATATGCATTTTAAATGTTTTTTTTTCCTCTAAAGACTGATAGCATGAACACCACAGTAATGCTGTTTTACTTACTTATGGTTGCATGTGCAGGCTCAGCAGTAGGAGAGACTGTTGCTGTGAGAAAGAAAAGGTGAAATTAAATATTGTGTGCTCATTAAATATATAATTTTTGTCCTGAGGACTGATAGAACGTATGCCACAGTAATGCTGTTTTACTTACTGGTGGTAATGTCTGCTGGTGCAGTACTGGGAGAGGCTTGATGGCAGCTACACCACAGTAATGCTATTTTACTTACGTGTGGTTACATCTGCAGGCTCAGCAGTAGGAGAGACTGTTGCTGTGAGAAAGAAAAGGTGAAATTAAAGTTTATGTGCATGTTAAATATATATTTTTTTCCACAAGACTGATAGCATGTACACCACAGCAATGCTATTTTACTTACTTGTGGTTACTTCTGCAGGCTCAGCAGTAGGAGAGACTGTTGCTGTGAGAGAGAAAAGATTTAATTAAACATTGTGTGCATTTAAATGTTTATTTTTTCCACCAAGATCCATAACATATAAGCTAGAGTCATGCTGTATTACTTAATATAGAATGAAAAGGTGAAATTAAATATTGTCTGCATTTTAACGATATACTTGTCCTCTAAGACCTACAGCATTTCCTGTTTATAGGAAATCAGGACTTAGATATAACAGTGACAGAGCCTATTTTTTCTGGGACACCTTGTAATTTAAGGGATGTGGTTTGGTTTATTTTTCCCCATCCTTTAAATACTGCCTGGTTCAGCCTCTCTCCCCAACCTTGCTTCTTCACTGAGACAATGAGCTAGCAGTTGAATGATCTTGAATTTCATTAATTTACTTTAATCTTATCAGTGTAATCTGTTTTGAACAAATTCAAGCACTACTATTAGGTTTTATGGCATTGTGTCTGTATCTTACCCTCAGCCAGTGTGGAAAGGATTTCTGCAGCTGTGGTTGTCACATCTTCTTCAAGTGCAGCAGGCAACAAGTTTGGTTCTGAAGTGTTTGCAGAGGCTGTGAGGAAGAGGAAGAAATGTGGAAACAAGAGGGAAAGAGCCCTTTACTGTCTGTGGTGTAATTGGGATTTCTGATGTCCTGATCTCCTCTGTGGTGGTGGTGGAAAGGGAGGGAGGTTGAAAGGATGAGTAATTAAATGGCTGCAAGCAGCAATTAAAAGCTTAAGAGTGATTTCAAGAGCTTGTGACTTGATTTAGGTCTCAGATTTAATAAAAATACTGATCTAGTGGCTGCCCATGGGAGAGGGTTGGATCCTGGTGATCTTTAGGGTCTCTTCCAACCCAAACCATTCCACGATTACCAGTCTGCTAAATAACTGGAGAAGCTCACTCCCCAGCTGAGGGAAATTAGTGCAAATGCCAGTCTGTGGTCCTTAATGTTTCCAGAATTTGATTAATTTTATACACACAGAATTACAATGATCTGAACAGTTTTTCTTTGCAAATTTGTAAGGGTGTTCTTTAAAACTACAGCTCAGAGGTATTAATCAGTAAGTGCATGTATCCCTGCCTGACAGACTGATATTTTTCAAGTGAAGGTGTTGTAAGAGGATTGCTCCTTCACAAAAGAGGAACTAAGGACAACTATATTGTCTGCTATGAATATTTACAGATTTCCATGGTCACAATTTAGCTGAAAACCCCAAATTAACAGAGTGTTTGCTTTAAAAAGCACATGTGAAATGGCTGTCCTTACCTTCATCAGCTGTGGCTGGGGTCTCAGGAACTAATGTGGTCATTTCCTCTGTGACAGTGGTGGGTGCAGAAAACACATCTAGGGCTAGTTGGGGAAATACAAAACAGAGAGAGATTGGCAGCAATTAGGAGTGAACACGTGAATGAAAGTCTTGATGAAGGTAAATAAATTTGGGCTTTGTGGGACAATGAGTCATTGCCCAGCCTTTTATTTTTGATGGCAACAAAATTACTTTCACCTCATTTAATATTTGTTAACAAAGGTGTTTGTGTTGTTCCTGACTGCATTGCTTCACTCCTGGAGGTGCAATAATCATTTGGAAAGGTGCAAAGGTGCCCTTGTGAGGGAGAATAAAACATGAGATTTGTCTAGTGCTTTGGGAGTGTCTTCCAGCCCCCAAGGGTGCCTCACCTTCCCTGAGGGTTAGCGTGGTCTCTGGAGCAGCAGGAGTCTCAGTCTGTGCTGGGGCTGAGCTGGGAGCAGGGGAGGAACCTCCAGAGACATTGCAGGGATTTGGGTTTCATGGGAAAGAAAGATCCCTGCACTTTAACTTTTGGTCATGTGGCTCAGAACAGCATCTTCCAGTAGTTATTGTAAGTGAATTTGGGACACTTGTGCTCCTCCTGCCTGCTTTAAACAAATCCCACCTGTTGCTCAAAATTTCCACCCATGACAATTAGAAAATTGTTTTCTTAACCTTGCCTTTGCCAGCAGAAGTCAGGGGTTCTGTGAAGTTGTCACAGTTGCTGCTTTGTTAAAACCTTAAGAATAAATGCTTTTGGGAACCAGCTTTTCATTTCTGTGTTACATATAATAAAACATATAATCATGATTCTGTGATTCTATGTGGTAGAAAACACCTGCTCTCCTGTGACTGTGGATTATGAAGGGCATAATTAACTCCTAGAAATCCCAAGAAACATTACTAGAATCTGTACTTTAAGGTTTCCAGGGTGTTATGATTATTTCAGCAAAAATTTGGAATCAGAAACTTAGACCTGGAGTGTAAGGCTTGCCTCATGTTTTCATTAATTATTAGTAGGTAAGTGGCAAATACAGTTTGTATTAGCAATGCAAAGAAATAATGAAAATATAAAGAAATAATGTTGCAGTGGGCGAATAAATAGTAGTTTGGAGCAATAACTTGTAATTCAGAGCATGCCTTTGTAGAAAACTGCCAAGGAGCTGTAACATGATTTTTTGAGTTTAAAAATTAGACTCTGAGCACTGGGGAGACTTTACAGAGCTAATTTTGGGAGTCCTGTCCCAAAAGCTCAGCCTTACCTGTCGGTGCAACCGTGGATTGCGTTGCATCTGTGAACAGCAAAAAAAAAAGCAAGAATTTACTTTATTGGGCAGTTATTTATATTACATATTTATGGCAAGAATTATTTTTTTTCCACTCATACATGCCTGGTTCACGACTAGATGGCCACTATTTTCTCCTTACTCTTTGCCTTTGTTGTCTTGGGGGTTGTCTGTAAGGTGTTGACTAAAGTGGTCCTGAACTACCTGCTTTTCACTGTTTTCATACCCAGGGCTTGCTGTCCAATCTTGTTATTTTGTGCAAAGCATCCTTTTGCTCCTCAATCACTCAGACTCAAACAGAAGAAGCACCCCACCTCCACTTTTCAGCCCTGGCCTGATTTCCAAGCTCTACCCTGATATTTCTTGCATTTATGTTGAACAGCATAGTCCAAGGAGGGTTTTTTCTTATTATTCATTATTATTTTTATCTTTACCTGAGCAGATGACACCAACATCCTCACTGGGTCCACAGTTGTGCTTGCCCCAGCCGGCATGCCGGCAGTCCCAAAGGTGGGATTCAGTTCCTCTACACTGCACATCATCCAACTGGATAACTTTTCCACTGAGGCCAAAGTAAGACAGTCCCAGGACAGAGACAGCTTGGCCACAGTGAAGTTGTCTGCACACAACGTTGGCACTGTTCATATTGAAATAATCATCACAGACTGTGCCCCATTTTCCATCATGATAAACTTCAACCCTCCCGGCGCATCGGTGCCCTCCAGATTCCAGTCTCAGCTGTGGTTGTGGTGGAACTAAAGCAAAAGTTGACAGGTAAATCTCAATTTGTTAATTTATAGCTAAACTTCTGATGTCTAAATCTGCATCCCCATGATCTACCCTGGTGGGGTATGGCTGGCTGTGCTGCTGAGGCTCCCCAGAGCTCCCCAGAGCTGGCTCTGGGAACTCTGCACATCTGCCAGGTGTGTTCACACTCAGGAGCACATCTCTTACCATTTTGCTCCAATTTTTCTTTAATCCACTCGGCAAATTTGGTCCATATTGATTTTAGGTCTGTGTCTGCCTGGTTCCACCAAGCTCCACTTGCTGTGGCAGAGAAGGAAACTTATTAGCCCTGAAGTAACACATCATACTCTTGTTTTGTAAATAATTTTTTTTTAAATAATTCAGTACAGCCAGTCCTTAATCTCTCTGTGAAATTACCACTTTTTGTAAGGGATTGGCAAGACTTTTTTTCATGGTGCCTATGGTGATAAATAAAGGTCAAATTATCTCATTCAAGCTAGCAAGATTATAAGTTTGAAGGAACATGCCATGCAGAGCATATTTCCACCTGGGTCTGGCAGACTGCTCTGTGTTTCTTTCCCCCTCTTTCTCTACATTTTAAAAAAGACAGCATAGAATAATTTTAATTAAAACTAGAATATTAGATGAAGAACATTTAGAAAACAACTTCCACAAGCTATTTTCCTCACGGAAAAGAAACAAAGGAATATTCTTCAGCCTTCCTCAGTCTGTAACCTTCATAGGTTATATTTTGAAATACAGTATATTAATATAATATTACATATATTATATATATTGTATTATGTATTTTGAAATTCATACATTTTGAAATGCATACATTTTGAAATACATGTATTTTGAAACACAACCTATGGATTTGGACTGAATCTTTGAAGTGGAAGACAAACCGTCAATTCTACGGTACAAAACTCATCAGCAATATTCGAGGAGAATCTTTGCCACCACTTCCCAGCAAGCCAGCCTGCATTAGTAAACAATTCTGCAACATTTCAGAAATCATTCAGTAACATTTCTGTAAAATCAAAAAGATTTTCAAGGCCGTACCTGGTTCAGTCAGGAGCGTGGTGCTCAGCAGAAGCAGCCAGGTGAGACGCACGTGCAGGTCCATGGTTGTTGGGGGTGGTCTGCCCTAGCCCAGCACAGCTACACAACTTATACCCAGTGGGTTCTGGTCTGCATCAAAGGCAGGTGCTGTGCAACCTGATCCCTCTCCCTGAGCTTCCAGATCGATGCCAAGGAAGTGATTTAGTGAGGATTTTCCTTTCACAGGGTACATCCAGACATCCGGATTGGGACATCCAGCTCAGGGAGCTGTTCCGGACTGGCCACCAAGATCTTCCCAAACACTCCCCGGGCACCTTTGTGGCTCTGTGTTGATGGTGTGGCTGTTCCAGGAAGCAGTGATTGATTTACTTTTGGAGATTAGGCTGTTTGGTAAGGATTCTCATGCCACCCATTAAGAGATTTTCCAATTTACAACCATATTAACGAGATTAATTGGTGTGAGGATTGTGCCAAAAGATTAGCATCCTAAAAGTGTCAGGCAAGCCCCAAACAAATTTTCTTCTTTTTTTTTGCCAAAATTACTCATGTAAGAAGCAGTTTTTTCTATTTTTCTGACTTCTCTTTAGCATGGGAGAAGGTCCCTCCAGCCTGTTTCAGGTCTGCAGTTCTCTGTCTGACTTGCAGCCCCCAGAGCAAGAAAGGAGCTTCCAGTCCTCCCTGGCATGAGGTGATGGTGTCACCACCATGGCCTCTGATGTCCTAAAGGATGCCTCCAGCTCTGCCTCATTTTGTCCTGTCAGGGAGAAAGGAATCAGCTACAGAGAGTAGAAAAACAAAGCTGAATTGTCTTACCTGAATTAAAAATGAACATATTTTTTTTCTTTTCATGAATGCTTTTCTCATTTTCATGGTACAGTACAGCTCTGTTTGGAGCCCTGATATAGGGATAGCAGGTGACATGGAAGGAACGTGGCTGAATGCAAAAAATCTTTAGTTATTAAGAATCATCAAGATTTGCTTTTTCAGCATTCCTGAGTCTCCTTTACGAAACAGGTAAGGACCCAAGGAGGTCATGCAGAGGGTAAATCCTGCGTGCCAAGAACCAGCAGTGATGACAGTAGGGCTGACCTCTGTGGTCTTGGAAGGACAAAGCTGTTCCCCAGAACATCTTAAAGTAATCTATCAAAACCTGCTCCAAGGAAACAAACAGGGTGTGTAGTGAAACAGCTTTGGGCTGGAGAGGTTCACCGTAAATCTTCCTTCACAGAGAGAAGTTTTGCTGTGCTGGCAGATCTTCCCCTCCCTGGAAATAACTTTATTTACAGTTATAATTTCTCTCAGTATCTGGGCCTAAAGGGGCTAAAAGCAGAGGAAAAATGAGGAGCTTTTCTGGTGGCTGCTGCCACTGGAGGGCAGCGGGGCCCCATCCTTGGGAAGCGAGCACGGGGCTGGAAAAGATGCTCCGACACCACAGAGCTGCTGTGGCACCCATGAAGACACTCCACCTGAGCAAATCCCTTTAAAAGTACGCATATTTGTAAGGAATTCCACCAAAGTGCTTTTGAAGTAATAGAATAGGGCTGAATGCCCTTCTCCTCTATGTGTATTTATTTGTATTTCTCATTCCCGGGGGAAAAAGAAAAATCACTGATGTGTGTGAACTCACAGCTTTTTCCCATGCTACAGCAATGTATTTGTCATTTCTTTCAGCATCATTCTGCACTCCTGAAAAGTTTTCTTACGTGGTAAATCCTGGCTTTTGCTGAACCCGCTGTATTCCCAACAATCTGGGGCAGGCCATGTCCAGTGTCTTACCACAGTGAAGTGTTCCCAGTGCCAAATTCAATTCTGTACCAGCCCCTTCCCCAGTTCTGTTCCCTTCCCTGGACACATTCCAGCCCCTCAATGTCTTTGTTATCCCAAAGGTGATCCCAAGGTCTGAGGTGCCTTAGCAGTGCTGGCACAGGGGATAGCCACTGCCCTGGTCCTGCTGGCCACACGAGTGCTGGAACAGGCCATGTTTTCTCTCTGACAGCCTTTCCACCAAAGTCCAATTAGTTCTGAAGTGAGAAGTGTTTTTCAGGAATGATTATAGAAAAGGCGAATCCCAGCTGAAGTAAATCACATCCTCAATAACATAACCTGCAAAGTGATTGCCTGTATTTATGGTGAATTTTATAGTAAAGTGAAAACTTTAGATATGAAGCCACTGTGTTTGGACAAAACTGAGTATTGAGTGCTGGGTCCAGCTGCCCAGCCCCAGAGGAGAATTCCCTTGGGATAAGGATGTCACATGAGCCTCTGGAAGCCTCAGTGAGGGAAAATCTTTGTCAGGGGTGAAGGCTGTGCTGAAGTCGAGGGGTGCCAGCGACCTTGGCCCCACACATGGCAGGAGAGGTCATTCCATCCTGTTACCCACGAAGGCTCTCTGCCAACACACCCTGCTTGTCTTGGCACCTGCTGCATTCCTGCAGCTTTTCCTGCTTTCCACTGCCCTGTGGACAATGGTTTTAATGGAGAGCTTGCCTCAGCTTCCAGCAAATCCCTTTGACCTCAGCAGTGCCCGGGGCAGGGTCACATCGGTGCTGGTGACCTTCTCCAGCACCCTGGGAACATTTGTCATCACAAACACGGGAGTGGCCTTGGGGTGCCAGGGACTGAGCTGTCACTACTGTTTCCTTTTAAATTAATTTCAATTTTTAAAGTTTAATCATTAAATCAGTGCAGTGAGGCACATGAAGTGTGCAGTGTAGCTCACTGCCCATGCAGAGAGGAAGAAAGACTCTGTAGGCTGCCAAAGTTAAAGTGATTTATTCCCAGCTGAGTAGTGGTTATGAAATTAGCCATAATTAAATAAATTACCTGTGCTAGACAAATGATGGTGGGTATTTATTGATATATTTACAATGAAGTATTTAAATTAATAGAGCAAAATCAAGGCTCAACTCCTTGAGACAAGGGTGACCAAGACATGAGGTTAATCAAGCCAAAGCAGCACAGTGTCACCATGACTTCCTTATAACTACATTTTCTTTTTTCCTTGCATTTTAATAGCACTCAAGGGCCTTTGAGTTTTGTTAGGAAGTACAAAAAATTCTCTTAGGTTTTTTTTTCTTGTGTGAGGTATATCCAGATAACAGATAACATTGAAAATGCTGTTTTATGCAGCACCTTTCCTCTTTTAAGACTTGAAACCTTTAACAACCTGATCCAGTGAAGAGGTTCTTCACACTCAAAAGGTCACATCCTTTCAGTCCTGTGGCAAATCAGATCTATATTTACATTTCATATATTAAATCTGCTTAAATATTAAAAATCTATGGTCAGCCTCATGAAAACTCATGTAAATCAGAATTACAGCTTTCACTGTGGTCAAAATACACTGTATTTTAAATTTGTCCTCATGCATAAACTACTGAAGAAACTAAATAAGGTGCAAATCAGTAATAATTTAAAGAGCAAGTTTTTTATGGTAGGGATTTTTTTTTCAAGATAGAAATGGTTGAATAAATATGAAATTGAAAATGCCAGGTATTTCAGTTCTCCTAGAAACTGTCAGAGGAGGAAATAGACAAAATATACATTTTAGCAATTACAGTTTCTGTAAAATTAACTGTATTTTTCAAAGAGATTCTTCCCTCAGAGGGTGATTGGACACTGGAACAGCTCCTCTGGTTACAGCACAAAACCTTCCAGGGGTCAAGAAGTGCCTGGGCATCATTGCAAGTCAGGTGCTTTAATTGTAGGTAGCCCTTTTGAGGAGCAGGGTGCTGGATTCAAACATCATGGATTGTTCCCAAATCAAGATATTCTATCTATTCTATTCTTCACCTTTTTTTTTTTTAACCTGTTACGTTTCACAAAGCGTCCAACAACTGGATAATTAATTAAGAGCTGACTGTCCTTGCCAACAACTTGAAAAGTCAGTGGAGAATGAGACTCTGAACTTTTTTTACCATCAGGCAGACATTTATAAAAGTTGTCAAGGTTAAATTTGGGTAAGGACCAAGAAGGGCCAGAAGGTCATGGCATCACCTTCAGAGGGATGTGACACAGCTCTGGCTCCTTTTTCTTGCTTTCTGCCCCTAAGCTGCAAAGGAGTTGTGACTCTGAACCTTTGCATTTGGTTTATCCTGGTTATCTTGCTCAAATAAATGATCCTCAGGTGCTCAATAAAAGCTTTGTCAAGGTGAGATATGTGGGATTAGGACTTGAAGTTCAGGAAAAGTCTCCTGTGTGAAAGTTTGTTGGTTCTGTGAGGGCAGAATGTGCCT